GTGATGCACTTAGCGGTAGCGCGGTTGTCCCACCTGCGTTACAACTATGTACTTACTAGTAGCGTCGGTTTTACATCACACGCTGCTAATATTTTTTGATCTGGTCGTGTGATATGACACACTTACCAGTAGCGTGCCCAAAAGAAACCAACGCTGCTGCTAAATCATACCAGTAGCGTGCTTTGTACCCAGCGCTACTGGTAGTTACCAGTAGCGTGGGGACACAAACAAACGTTACTGATAAACTTATATGTATAAGCATTTTTCTAGTAGTCGCGCTACTGCATGGCCAATAGCTATACCCTTACCCTGCTATCAAGTTCTTGAAATCGTTAACATCACCCTCCTGTAAACCGAAGGAAAACAGATTCATTCCAATCCTATGGAACAGGCAAACATGAGATAAAGTCAACAATTAAAGTAAGATAAAATAGTATAACGAGAATACGACCCGTAGCACATACCTTATTAGTGTACATGTTGATAGACTGATTCAGATAAATCTAATAGGCCGGTATGCTGAATCTAACTCTAGTAAATCCTCTCATCACGTGCACGCCCATCACCAACTCCGAGTGCGCCACCGCACAGACCAATCACCAGCCTCAGCCACCGGAGAGCTATCTGGGCAGCCACCGCGCAGCGCCACCGCCTCGAGTGCAGATTCAAGCGCTAGAGGCCAGATCCAACGAGGTCGCGGCACTCCCGTCGCTGAATCCGCCATTGCCCACAGCCGAGCGTGAATGCTAAGTCATGCTTCCCCCGACCCACACAAAGGCTTGTCGGCGACCTCATCCCGAGGCCGCCAGTGTATTAATAAGCAGTGTATCATGCATCAGACCGCACACGCCGTTCACGCGGCTGACCGCACCGTCAGTAGCCGTGACCGCGTCGTCATATTGCACGGCGCCGTCAAGACCATTTGTACATTTAATACATGTTGCGATGCGCTGCTGTCCCATTCGTCCACATACCGCGAGCAAGTCTCTCTCGTCTGTACCATCGTTGCTCTCCATCCTATTTCAGATTTTCGAGTACAGACAAAGAAGACTACGGTCGGTACTACTACTCCTAGCAGGACATACATTAGTACATGAAAATAAGAATGGTTTAAGAACATAGCATAAAATTGTACCTTGTCACAGGGGAGATGGGAACGAACTCTGCAGCTCCTAACGAGAGAGACCGTAACAGGAGACGGCGGCGGCGGCGTGCACACATGCCGTGCACGCAGGCAACCAGCACCTACAAGAACTTCGCTTGATCCCCTCCTCTGAGGCCATGTTGGCGATCCGGAGAGACGGCAGCGGCGGCGATCCGAAGAGACGGCGGCGGCGATCCGGAGAGATGGCGGCGGCGCAATCCGGAGAGACAGCGGCGCCGGCGATCTGGAGAGGGGATCGAGAGACGTGCGTTCGGGTGGGGGCAGCGGCGCGATCCGGAGAGACGGCAGCGATCTGGAGAGGGGATCGAGAGACGTGCGTTGGGGAGGTTGCGGAGGCGGCAGCGACGGGCGGCGACATTTGAGGGAGGGAGATGGGGGAGGG